AAGAAAGAAAGAAAGAAAGAAAGAAAGAAAGAAAGAAAGAAAGAAAGGGAAAAAGTAGCCCCTGAGCCGCAGTGCCCCATACTTGTGGGCTCGGACTGTCTAGGTGTTGCAAAAAAGAAAATCAACAAGGGAAAATAAACAACTGAGAACAGGGCTGTCTTAACAGCATTATGGACCCCAGGCAAAGCAGTGTACTGGGGCCCCTATGACAACTATTCACAGGAATAAAAATGTAAATGGTTGATATAATTAAACATATATTTATTTTATTGGCACTTCCAACAAAATTTTTAATAAAATAACACTGATTAATTTAAAAAATGCAGTAAAATGTAATAAATATGTTGCTGTATTTATATGATACAAGATGCATTGGAGAGTTAACATACACAGATTAGTGTGGGGCCCCTATGCTCGTGGGGCCCACAGGCAAGTGACCATCAGGCCCATGTGTTAAGACAGCCCTGACTGAGAACACACCAAAACATCCCTTTGCAAACAACTCCTGGGGAATGGAGGGAGGATAGGTGGGTGGGAAAGCAGGAGGCCTTACCCAATTGCCTTACCCTATTGAGGTTGAGGGTGGTGCAGATTAAGCCTAGATTCTGCTGCAGTGGGTCCTCAGCAACGACCAACAAAATTCACTTAATGACAGAAACAGGGATTGCTGGGGTTGCATTGATAAGCAATACGTAACTCACTTTACAACCACACAGCTTAGCAACCAAAATCCAGCCCTAATTGTGGTCATAAGTTGAAGACTACCTGTACAAGGCCTGAGTAAACAGTATGATGAAAACTCCACTTAATACTATGTTGAGAAATAAGAAGTGATTTCAACTTATTTAGACTTGGAGGTCAAATTTCTGTATTTGATTCTATAACTAAAATGGTGTACAGTCTTTTGTGTGTGCAACTTTGAGTTGCAAACTGTGTGTATGCTTAATGACACAGTTTGCATGAAACAGCTATTGGAATTGAACAGAAACTTAAGTCACCATGGGGGTAGGGGGAATTTGATTTTTGTTGTTCTTATATTGTATTTGTATCCATGTAAGCTGCCCAGAGTCACTGAGAGGGTATCTCCCAGGATATATCTATTACATAAGGAAGTCATAGCTTTAGTCTGGTAAGATTCTGTCTATTAAGTGTAATCAAATATAAAGATCTAGGTTCATTTGGATCTTATTGTGCTCTTTGGGCTTGGTCCTGACAGAATTTGAAGACTATTAGAATGAGTATTGATGCACTTGAACGTTAGTGTTGAAGAAGATGCCTTGAGAAAC